CAAGGGACAGGAGGGAGTTTCTATTCATTGCAGGGAAATCCTCACTTAAGCTTCAGTGAGCCACAAGCACTTAAAACCCATAAACCTTCAGCTGATTGTCCTTAGCCAGTTCAGTCTCTAACAGGAACTGGCATGTGTTCTTGTGCTGTTCACCATGTAGCTGAATTCCTTCTCCACGTTCTGGCTGTTCAGTTACAGTACCATTTGCAGGCAAGTTTCTTAAACGCCTTCACTAGTTTCTTTTTATTGTAAGCATCAGTAATCCCTTGAACAGTAGTAAGGGTCCTTTCCACCATTTCTCTGTTGAATTCTTACATGGAGATAATCCTCAGTGCCGGCAGGAAGCAGGTCATCACCCTTACGTACATCAGCAGAGGGTCTGGGAAGAAAGGTTAATAAGCTCATCCGAGCTGTCATGGCTCAGATGCCATTGACACCTTCCCACTGGACCTTCTGCACATGAGAAACTAATACTGAAATTTGTCAAGGCTCGCGTCAGGGTGGATGTGTCATTCATTGGCTGTCCCCAAACAGGTGGGTCTGGGACAGCCGGCTTCTGCAGGCCTGGAAAGAGTTGGGACTCCCGCCCTCCCTCAGAAGCCCTTGCCGCCTTCTCAAGAGCTTGTTTGAGCTACACAAAGGCCAGGCTGCCAAGACCAGCTACATCTGGGAAAAATTGATTTGAAATAACTTGTGAGATGTGGTATTTTCAGTTTTTTTAAAAAATCAGATATGTCTTCGGTAAAGGCTTCTAAAAGTTAATTTTGCATTTAATATTTGGGTCCTTAATCCCTTGAGTTGGGTTTTCTGTCTGGGGTGAGTAGGGATCTGAGTTGGGACAGTCAGCCCCAGCACCCTGTGCCACCCGCTGAGGCCATTCTGTCCCCGCTGATTTGCAGCTCTTGCTTACGGGGTCTGTGAGTGGAAGGGAGCACCCTGGCCATTCTTGCCCTTCTCTCCCACCTGAAGTTTGTCACATTACAAAATTAAAGTGTTGGGCTGTTGATGGTGACTAAACTGGAGAGAAGGGACTTTGTGATTCTTCCTAGTGAGTCTCTGCCCAAGAATACAGGGTCTTAATGTCTATAGTTGAGTTTCATCATTTTCTCCTGGTGGATTCACACATGTGTTTCATTGGATTTATTTCTAGATTCTTTATAATTTTTGCTTTTGTCAGTGGTATTGTTTTAAATTGGTTTTTTTCCAACTGCTTGTTACTAGTAAGTATGAAGGCAGCTGACTCGTGTCTATTAATTTTAATAATGTTTTATTGGAATATACGTTGTAAAGAACACAAATCATAAACTTCATGACTTTTTATAAACTCAGCACACCCATGTAAGCACACCAGATTCAGGCAAAACATTATCTGTGCCCAAGAAGCACCTGTTCCCCCAGTCCCCTTACAGTCACTGTCCCCCCAAGGATAATTTCCTTTTTTTTTCTTTTCGGCCGCTTGCCAATAAGGGGATCAAACGTGGACCTTGGTGTTATCAGCACCACGCTGTAACCAACTGAGCTAACCAGGCAGCCCTCCAAGGGTAATTTCTAACCCACTTCCCACCCTCTGGTCAGTTGTGTTTTTTTCACTGTCTTTTTTTGTAGACATTACAGCACACAAATCTTAACTGTACAATTGATTACACACCATCACAATATAGGACATTTCCATCTTCCCAGAAAGTCCACTCCCTGCTCCAGGCAGCCGCTGATCTAATTTCCATCACAGTAGATTAGTTTTGCCTGTTCTACAGCTTCATTTAACTCAACTCATAGAGGATTTCGTATCTTGGGTCCAGTTTCTTCTGCTCAGCATAATGTTGCTGAGTAGTATTCCATTGTACGACACTTCACCCCACCAATCCTGTGGCTGGAGTCACCCCAAAAGCAGCAACAAGAGAGTTCCCACAAGGGAGTACCCCAAACCATCCTGAGATGAGGCTAGTTGGGATTCTAAAGAAAGAAGCACTAAACACCAGGGTGATTAGCACGGATAGAGTGCTGTAACGAATTCTCACGACAGACAGTGAGAGAAAGGGCTGTTCTACCTAGGGGAGTCTGCAGCGCGGGGCTCAGGGTATGGAGTTCATCTGAGAGTTAAACAAAGTTGGCTGAGGGCTGGGCCCAGTTTCTTTCCGTATTGTGGGCAGCAACCCAGATACCTTTATCAGTGCCTGGAATGTTCAAGGTCTCGTTTTGTTTCAAGCCTGCTGGGAGGAACCTGCAGCTGGCTGGGTGTGATTCTTGGTGAGGACACAGAAAGAAAGGAGGGGAACTGGGGGACCGTACAGATGAATACACAGTGCGTCCATTCACATGTTCATTAAATTGGCCACTGGGTTGTTTCCAGTTTGGGCTATTTTGCTGCCATGAACATTCATGCACAGTCTTTGTGGGGACGTGTGCTTTCATTTGTCACGGGTGGTACCTCAGGGGAATGGCTGGGTCAGACGGGAGATGTGTGCTTCACTTGATAAGAGGCTGCCAAATTGCCCTAGAGAGAGCCTGTCCCATCTCCACTGGCAACTCCTATGGGTTCCTCGCCAATGTTTGCTGTTGGCAGGCAATTGAATTACAACCACTCTAGGGGATGTGAAGTGGTATCTCATTGTAGTTTAGTTTGCATTTTTCTTTTTTTTTTTTTTTTTTTAAGATGACCGGTAAGGGGATCTTAACCCTTGACTTGGTGTTGTCAGCACCACGCTCACCCAGTGAGCAAACCGGCCATCCCTATATGGGATCCGAACCCGTGGCCTTGCTGTTATCAGCACTGCACTCTCCCGAGTGAGCCACGGGCCGGCCTTTTTTACCCATTTTTAATTGGGTTTTCTTATTATTGCGTTGTAGGAGCTGCTTATACATTCTGGAGACAAATAAATTTGGCAAATATGTTCTCCCAATCGGTGGCTTGTCTATTCATTTCTTTAATGTCTTTTGATTGACAGAAATTTTTTATTTTGGGTTTTGTTTTTTTGGCAGTTGGCTAGTATGGGGATCCAAACCCATGACCTTGGGGTTACCAGCGCCATGTTCTCCCAAGTGAGCTAACTTGCCAGCCGAGAAGTTTTTCATTTTGATGAAATCTTAATTTATCAGTTTTTGCGGTTATTGCTTTCTGTGTCCCCTCTAAGACAGCGTTTCTATTCCTATTCCTCTCTGTGGATTTTTTAAATCTAGCAACCTTGCTAAACTCTCATTTATTCTAATTTATCTGTAGACTGATTTGAGGTATTTTGATTGGGGGGGGGGGGGTTGTTTTTAGCAGCTCGCCAGCATAGGGAACCAAATCCTTCACCTTGGTGCTACAAGGCCATGCTCCAACCGTCTGTGCAGCCGGTCAGCCTTTGTTCTGTTGTGAGTGTGTGTTTTTGGCAGCTGGCCAGTGCTGGGATCAAACCCGTGACCTTGGGGTTATAAGGCTGCACTCTAACCAACTGAGCTAATTGGCCAGTCCCCTTGTTTTGGTTTTTTCACAGACAACTGTCATCTACATATAACAACAGTTTCATTTCTTATTTCCGTACCTTACGTCACTTCCTTCTCCTGCCTCACTGCACTAGCCAGGGCCCCCTTCAGCACTGACTAAGACTCCCTGGCAGGCATTTTGTTCTTGTTACCGGTTGTTTAAAGGGAATTATTTCAACATTTCCCATAATGTATGGTGTTTGTAGGGTGTTTTATAGGTGCCCTTTATCGAGTTAAGGACGTTCTCTTTTATTCCTAGTTTGATAAGAGTTTTATCATGACTAGATAATTTTCTGAAACACTTTATCTACATCTGTTGAGTTTAGCAAGGTCGCCAGATTTAAACAATCAATACTTAGGAGCAGGCAGAGATTTCTTAGACTTTTTTTCCTTTAATGTGTTAATGTGGTGAATTTCGATGATTGAATTTTGTTTCTTATTAATCAGATTAACCCTTTATTTCCAGAATAAACCCAACTTGGTTGTCACGTGTTCCCTTTTTTCACACTGCGGGATTCAGTTTGCCGGTGTTTTCTGTAGGATTTTTGCATCCGCATGTTCCCATGTGCCTTTCTCATCTGGTTTCAGTACCAGGATTTTGCTGACCCCATAAGGTGGCTTGGGGCTGTTCCCCTTTCCTCTGTCTGCAGAAGAGTTTGCTTCAGACTGGATTTCTCTCTTCCTTGCATTTGGTAGAACCAACTGGCCACACTCTGTGCCAAGAGTTGGCTTGGAGGGAAGGTTTGTAGCCTTTGCTGCACTCAGGTCCTTCTCTCCATTTTGGTAGGATGGATTTTTCTAGAAAATTGTCCATCTCATCTGAGTTGTCAGTCGTAGAATAAAGTTGTTCATAAACCCTCTGGTGTGTTACCTGTCTGTAGTTCTGTCCCATTGTACCCCCAGTTATTTCTGCTTTTTAAAAAAGTAACCATGCCAGAGGGTTGTCTGTTTTTATTATTGTTTTTCAAACACCAGCCTCTGGGTTTGTTCATCTTTTCTTTTGGTTAGTTTTCTATTTTATTAATTTTTATTTTTCATTATTTCCTTCCTTGTAATTTGTTTGGCTTTAAAATTCTACTGTCTTCTACCGTCCTTTTTCTAACCAGTACAGGGATCCAAACCCTTCACTATGGCATTACAAGGCTGTGCTCTAACAAACTGAGCTAACCGGCCAGCCCTGACTTCTTAAATTGAATGCTTACCTCATTATTTCCCACCCACTCTTTTTTGCTGACGTGACCATTTAAGGCCACATCTCAAGTTTTAATAAATGGTACTTCCATCGTCATTCGGTTCTAATGAGTTGGATTTGCAGGTTTTCTTTCTGAACACGGGAGACACATTTATGCCTTCTAGCTCAGGGTACAGGGCTGGCCCAGGCTGGCATCTCAGGGCTCCTCTGGCTAGATGGGGCAAGACAAATACACTTCTGGCTGAGTGGTGACCCTGAGTGAGTGCCCAGATCACCAAGTGTGGGGGATGATGTAGGTCATGTCCTCAGCTTCTCGTAACCACACCTGTTCCCTCTGCCATAGGGCGACCTGGCCAAGAAGAAGATCTACCCCACCATCTGGTAAGCATGTCCCCCCAGTGCCCCACAGCTCCCGTGGTGTCCCCACCAGGGACAGGCCTGGCCTTGCCCTTCCTGCCCTGACCACAGTTGTGCTCTGCCCGCAGGTGGCTGTTCCGGGATGGCCTTCTCCCCGAGGACACCTTCATCGTGGGCTATGCCCGCTCCCGCCTCACGGTGGCTGACATCCGCAAGCAGAGTGAGCCTTTCTTCAGAGTGAGTGGCTTCGGGGTCTCTCCTGGCCTTGTCCCTCCCTCTCCGCCAGCCCCCACACAGTGGCAGAGGGGCAGGAAGGACAATCACCTGGGACCCTCACACCCTAGCGCCTCGCATCCTTGCCCTCTCCAAGCTGCCTGCCAAACCAGGTGGAAAACTTTAGCCACCTGCTCTTGCCGCTTCCTCTGATGGCAGGAGGAGCACAGGGCAGGGAAGGGGTCCCTCCAACCTGAGACCTCTGTTTACCAGCCCCGCTGACCAGGACTTACTGGTTCCAACCTGCTGTGCTCTGGGATCAGCTTAGGATGTGCCAGGAGCTAGAGAAAGGACTCCTTGCAGGTGCCTCTTCACCAAGGGAAATCCTACAGAACTGCATTTACTCAACAAATCACAGTTTGGTGTAATGATTTTAGAGAGAGATCTTTTTCCAGTGTATTTCTCCGAACTCAAATTTTCTTGAAATCTTAAAAAAAAAAAAAATTTCCTGAAATCTGACTTCTGTCTTAGGGCATAAGGTCCCCAAGGATGTGTAGGGGTAACCATACCAATCATTGCCCTGGCCTGAGCTGCTGGGCCCCCCATCTCCCCAGTGTCGCTGTCCCTGCACGTGCAAAGCTGCCCAGATGGGGGTGAACCCAGGGTGGGACTAGGATGGCTGGCTTCTAAGGGAGACCTCCCCAGGCCTCCAGGGAAGCCTGCCCTAGCTGTGGGATGAGAGAGCACAAACAAGCCCTCCCACTCTCCTGGGACAGAGCAGACATGGACTGTGGGGAGGAGGGGTGGCATCTGTCTGTCCGTCTCTCCCAGGCCACCCCAGAGGAGAAGTCCAAGCTGGAGGAGTTCTTTGCCCGCAACTCGTACGTGGCTGGCCAGTACGACGATGCAGCCTCCTATCAGCGCCTTAACAGCCACATGAACACCCTTCACCAGGGGTCGCAGGCCAACCACCTCTTCTACCTGGCCTTGCCTCCCACCGTCTATGAGGCTGTCACCAAGAACATCCACGAGAACTGCATGAGCCAGATGTAAGGCTTGTCCTTCCTCTCCCTTCCTGCCTCCTCGGCTGGCCCTGGTGTGGCCTGCACGCGTGGGGAGGGGAGTTTGTTGCTCTTAAGAGGCCCCGGTCAAACCGGTCTAGGCAGCCTGAAAAGATGGATGTCCCCCGTTTCTCCTCTATGTGAATTAGCTCTCCAAAGAAGGGAATAGGCTGTAAGTACGTAGTTTTCTAACAGCCTTTACCGAAAATGCCACTGTGCATTTCCAGTTCAAATGCTCTTGTGCAACCTCAACGTGGGTGAAACTGGAAATCAAACGGTGCCTGGCGGCAGTCCCCGCCGGGGCCACAAGGTGGCAGTGTTGCTCCATGCAACGCTTGCTGCCGTTTGCTCCTCGGGCCTTTCACGCTGTCCGAGGCCGCCGCACAGCCACCAGGTGGCGGTGTTGCTCCGCGGCCGGTTTCCCAAACCCAGGGCCATTTAGCTCTCTGGGTTGGTGAATGCGGAATGCCACAGGAACACTATTAGGCATAGCAGAGAAAAGGAGCTTTTCTCACCTTTTTGTTTGTTTGTTCTGTTTGTTTTGGCAGCTGGCGGGTATGAGGATCTGAGCCTTTGACCTTGGTGTTACAAGGCCGTGCTCTAAGCAACTGAGCTAACTCAGTCCTCCTTTTCTCACTTTAAAAGTAATCACGGAGCTGTGTCCCGGACTCCCCTCCTCCTGCTCCCCCACTGGCCACCCGGCCACTCCCAACGCACTGGGGACCCAGCATGGGGCAGGAGAGAAACAGGGCCACACAGGAATGTGCCAGCAGTGCCACTGTAGCCCCTGGGGGCTGTTCCAGTCACCAACAGGCTGGCGGGAAGGGTGCTGAGAAGGTGTTGAGCCTGGCACTGAGAGCCAAGGGGACAGAAGGTGTCCTCGGATGTGGAGGACTCTGTGCAGAGAAGGGGAGGGAGGCCCTGCTCCCTGGGGTGGGGGTCAGGGTTGAGGCAGTTCTGACCCTCACTCCCTGAGGAGGGGTTCGAGGTTCTGACGGCTCTGGGCTCCCAGCAGAGGTTGGAACCGCATCATCGTGGAGAAGCCCTTCGGGAGGGACCTGCAGAGCTCTGACCAGCTGTCCAACCACATCTCCTCCCTGTTTCGTGAGGACCAGATCTACCGCATCGACCACTACCTGGGCAAAGAGATGGTCCAGAACCTTATGGTGCTGAGGTGTGGGGGCTGAGCCCTGGTCCACGGCCTGGGATCAGGGGACAGGGTGGAAGGGGGCCAGGTCAGGGGTGGGTGCTGGGCTTCAGGCCTGTGGTGGCACTCAGCTGATCCCTCAGCTGGCTACCCGCCACCCTCCATCCTCCACAGGGCCTTTCCGCCTTTCCCATGCCAGCCTCTGCCCTGCCCCTCTCCACAGATTTGCTAATAGGATCTTTGGCCCTATCTGGAACCGGGACAACATTGCCTGTGTGATCCTCACCTTCAAGGAGCCCTTCGGCACTGAGGGCCGCGGGGGCTACTTCGATGAATTTGGTATCATCCGGTGAGAGCCTGTTTCCCCGCCCTGGCAAGCTGTCAGAGGTGATTGTGAACGGAGGGACCCCTATGTAGCCAAGCCCCTCGGGGGGTTCCTGGCTCAGCGACAGGGTCACCATCTGCTTCCTTGCTTTAAGGGGACCTGGAAGGCAGACTGGATCAGGAAGCAAGTCTTGCAGCTTGTCACAAGAAAGCCGACAGGAGGAGGGCTCAGGCCAGCGCGCTTTGCGTTCCCTCCTTCCAACCTCAGCTTCTGCCTCTTCTGCCGCCAGGGACGTGATGCAGAACCACCTCCTGCAGATGCTCTGTCTGGTGGCCATGGAGAAGCCCGCCTCCACCAACTCGGACGACGTCCGTGATGAGAAGGTGAGTGCAGGGGCCAGTCCATGACAAGATGGCAGGTGAGGACGTGCACACGGGGCAAGCATCCTCATTCTCTACAGAAGTGACCGCAGCAGTACGTCCCGCTGGGGGTACTCTGGGCTGGGAGTCACAAAGCCCAAGTTGTCATGTTCTAGGTCTGACAGTGACCACCATGCGACCAAGGACAGGCCATTGCCTCTGTGGACCTCAGCTTCCCTGTCTAAAAAAACAAGCATAGGCCAAGGTGGCCCTGGAGGGCCCCCAGGGAGGGGACCAGTGGCTGTGCCTCAGCAGGGTGAGCAAACCGAGCAGACACCGCCTCCTGTCTGTGGGCACCTCCCCTGCTGGGAAGCCCACCCTGCTGGGTCAGCCGGGCTTCCTCACCCCGCCACCCTGCGCCCCATCTTCTTACCCACAAGACCCTTTCTCCCCGGCCTTCTCCCAGGTCAAGGTGTTGAAATGTATCTCAGAGGTGCAGGCCAACAACGTGGTCCTGGGCCAGTACGTGGGGAACCCCAACGGGAAGGGCGAGGCCACCAAAGGGTACTTGGATGACCCCACAGTGCCCCACGGGTCCACCACTGCCACCTTTGCGGCTGTCGTCCTCTATGTGGAAAACGAGAGGTGGGATGGTAGGTGATACCTGCAAGGCTAGGCGTGCCCTTGTGGGGACCTTTCTCTGAGGGGCCGAACGCACTGGCTGCTCGGCAGTGCAGGGTGTTGGAGGGGGAGGCTTGGCAGATGTGGGATGTGGCACCCTGCGATACTCGCACACACCATACACACGTCCGTGTGCCCCCGCCTCATGCACCCACACACCCTGGCCCAGCCGCCAGCTGAGCCAGTCCTGAGGCCACCCTTTCTCCCAGGGGTGCCCTTCATCCTGCGCTGTGGCAAAGCCCTGAATGAGCGCAAGGCCGAGGTGCGGCTGCAGTTCCACGACGTGGCTGGTGACATCTTCCAGCAGCAGTGCAAGCGCAACGAGCTGGTGATCCGTGTGCAGCCTAACGAGGCAGTGTACACCAAGATGATGACCAAGAAGCCTGGCATGTTCTTCAACCCCGAGGAGTCAGAGCTGGACCTGACCTACGGCAACAGATACAAGGTGCCTCACCGGGGAGGGCCAGGCCGGGAGAGGCCCCGGGGGGTGGCCTGGGGGGGCTGTGCAGGTGGCGTCAGCGAGGCCGCCTCCCCTCACAGAACGTGAAGCTCCCTGATGCGTACGAGCGCCTCATCCTGGACGTGTTCTGCGGGAGCCAGATGCACTTCGTGCGCAGGTGGGACCCGGGAGCCCTGCGGGGGAGGGGCGGCCGCGGGGTGTCCCTCTCCCTCCCTCCCTATGCCCCGCGGCCCCAAGCCACACATGTCCCCCCAGCGATGAGCTCCGGGAGGCCTGGCGGATCTTCACGCCGCTGCTGCACAGGATCGAGCACGAGAAGCCCCAGCCCATCCCCTACGTGTACGGCAGGTAAGGCAGGGCCGGGCCGGAGCCAGCGCCCGGTGGTGGGGCGAGGCCGGCTCCTCACGTCTCTCTCTCTGCCTGTCACCCTCCCAGCCGAGGCCCCACGGAGGCAGACGAGCTGATGAAGAGAGTGGGCTTCCAGTACGAGGGCACCTACAAGTGGGTGAACCCGCACAAGCTCTGAGCCCTGGGCCCGCCCGTCCGCGCCCAGCCGCCCTGTCTGCACCCCTTCCCCCTTCCCACCACCCGACCCCACGTCAGGAGGACTGCGGGACCATGGGCCTCAGCCGCACATTCCTGGCCCCAGGCTCAGGCCACCCCCACCTGCCCCTTGCTGCTACTGCTGCTGCTGCTGCTGCTGCCGCCGCTGCCTAAGCCCAGCTACATTCCTTAGCCACCGAGCATTCAAGACTGGCACTGTGACCATTCCGGGCCCCCAAAGACCCTGCCTGAGCCACCCTCCTCCGCTCACTCCAGCCACACAGAAGGAAGGAGAAGATGGCCTCGGGCCGCAGCGAGGGGCGATGGGGAGGGCCTGGGCCTCCACGGGGCAGTGGCCGAACCACACTCCCTGTTGGTTGTGGGCAAGCTCCTCGGAACTCTGGGGGAAGGGGGCAAGCACGGCCACGCCAGCCTCAGTGCCACTTGACATTCCTGGTCACCAGCTGGAAGGGACCTCGTGCTGCCCAGCATCTCGAGCCCCCTGGATAGCCCGTCCCACCAACTCTGCACTGGATGGCCACCCCCCTGCAACACCCGCAGGCAGCCTCCTCGCTACAGAAAAAGCAGAAGCAGCAGCCGGGACCCCCCCACCTTAACCCCCTGCCATTAAATCCACAATTGGACCCATCTGTCCCCTTGTCATTGACCATGGGGGTGAGGGCGTCCCTGCTCCTTGTTCTTCCACCAGCGCCTGCTCCAGGCCCCCCTCGGGCTCCTAATCTCTGGGCCTAACCCCATGTCCAGTTGTGGCTGTGCTCTGTGTCACTGTGAGGTCAGCTGGAGTTACAAGGACAGGTCACATGTCTTTTCACCTTCCATATGGATGCTTCCACCACTTTGATTGTCCATGAGGACCAGCACACTGGCCAGGCTCCACTCTGACCGTGTCCCTGCCCTGTGCAGGGTCACTTCAGGCAATAGTGCCAGTGAAGGAAGTATTTAGGAGGAGAGGTGACAGGTTTTGTGATTGACATTGGAGGCCAAGTGGGAGAGGCTAGTCTGAGGTGACCTCCTGGGAGTGGTCAGGTTGCCCAGCCTGCATCCGTCGGCGCGGGTGTGGGTTAAAGGCGGAAATGTGCCCTCCCCAGTACTGGAGGCAGAAGGCAGAGACCGAGGTGTGACAGTGCCACGCTCCCCTGGAGGCTCCAGGGGAGGACCCTTCCTGCCTCTTCCAGCTCCTGGTGGCTCCAGGCGTCCCTGGGCTTGTGGACACATCACTCCAGTCTCTGCCTCTGTGTGGCTTCTTATGTGTCTGCGTCCCCCATCTGTCTCTTACGGGGTGTTTGTCATATTGGATTAGGGCCCACCCTGCTTGTGCCAGCATGACCTCATCCTAACTCAGCTAATTACATCTGCAAACACCCTACCACCAAGTAAGGTCACATTGTGAGGACCCGGGTGGGCATGAATTTGAAGGGGCAACCATTCACCCCACTACACTGTCCCCAACAAGTTCAGTAGCCCCTGAGCATCTCAGTGTAGCATTTGTCCTGCTTGTTCTCTCCTACTGGGCTGAGCACCGGGGATGTGGCAGGGACTGACACCATGGTCCCTGCGCTCTTGGCCTGGGTTCTAGTAGATGAGGCCAACAGGGCACGAAGCGATCAGGTGGCAGCATGCTTTATGGAGGGAGCAAACCAGCAGCCCAGAAAATGGCCAGGTGAGGAATGCTTTACTCCCAACACCCACTCAGAACCCTAGGGCCCCTCAGGTGGCAGCGGGAGGCACTCAGCAAGGCCTGTGCCAACATGACCAAGCCACCAGTCTGTCAGCAAAAGTTTGGCAGGAGTGACACCCACCAGCTGGCGACTACAACTGCCCCCGGCCTAGCCTTGGCTCCTCCACCCCACCCCCACGTGGGAGGGCAGTTCATGGCCAGGGCCTTTTGCATGAACCATCCGGGCCTCTGTGTAGCCCTGCATGGCCCCTAGGCTGGGGTGGCAACATTGGATCGGGCAGGGCAGGGAAGGCGGGTGGGGCCCCGGGCCTAAGGGATGAGCTGAGGCCTCTGCAGGACAAACACACGGAGAAAGAAGAAACCTGAATGGCAGGCAGGTCCAGTCCTGTCCTGTAAGTCGGGATGATGCGTCGCTGTCCCCACAAACACGCTGCAACCCTGTGTGTGATTCCTGCTGTCCCCATCACCTCCTGCAAGCGGGAGGCAGCATCTCCAGGTTGTGGGAGGAGGGAGGTTACCGCGCTCACCTGGACCCTGAACAGGGAAGGGAGGAGCTTGACAAGGGACAGGTCACGGGCCCTTAAGGGTCCCTCCTCGGTTAGGTTCACACAGCAGCAGATGGGGTTCTGTGGACAGGATTGGAGGCCAAGCTTCAGCCACAGGGACAGTGGCCTTTGTCCTCTGTCCTCCTGGTGCCAGTAGCCTCCATGAAAAGGGACCTTGGCAAAGGCTGAGACCCAGGAGCTCGTGGGGCCGCAGAGGTTGGGCCAGGAGCTCGCAGGGCAGAGGCGACACTGCCACCCATTATACCCAGGAGCTTGGGGCTGGGGACTGCTCTGTGTGTCCTTCCAGCCCAGGCCAGCCTCTGCTACTTCCCATGGGAAATCAAGTGGACCCTGCAGGGTAGCCAAGAGGGAGACTCCCAGGGACAGGGCATGTGAATGTCACACCGTGCTGGACAGAGCACCAGGCAGCTCCTCTTTAACCCCTCAGTCCTAGCGTGGCTGAGAGGGTCTTGCCCTTGACTCGCGGCGCCCCATGGTGCAGCCATGACGCCGCTGCAATGAAGGCCCCGGATGACACGAAGGCAGTGAACCCCAAGATGGCAAGAATCAGAGCAGTCACCCCCAGCTCCCCACCAGAGAGCGCCACCATCACACCTGCTCCTGGGAAAGAGCCATTTAAATCCCTAACCACCCTAGCCCGCCATCTGGGTCCTCAAAGCCTCAATCACGGGCCTAAGGGTGGCATTGACCCCTTGGAGGAGAAAACCGAATGAAGATGCAGGGGCCCTCATGACCCCGCGGGGGGACTTTGTGCTCAGAGCCCCCTCGCAGAGCCCCTGGAGGAACACTGGGCACTTCTCACCCCCCAAGACATTTACAGACTGCAGGGGGCCATGCTGGCATGGCGTCGCCGAGGTGGATGCTCTCATGCGGTGGGAGTGGCAGGGGAGCACGGTGGGGACCGCTCGATCTGACCCTGCTCTGAGTGCCTACACTGTGACAGAGTCAGGAGGGCCCTGGTCAGGTCTCCCAACTGTCACCTGACCTCTGAGTGCCTATGAGGGACAAAGAGGTGAGGGCCCTGATAAGGACAATCAACTGTCACCTCAGGAAGCCTACAGTGGGGAAGAGGCATGAAGTCCCAGGTGAAGACACTCGCGTTACGTCAGCCCTCGAGCAACCAGATAAGAACAATCAACTGTCACCTCATCTCGGCGAAAACATTCTGACACAGGTCTTAGGGCCCCACACAATTGAGACAAGTGTCACCTCAACTCTCGCAGCCCACACTGGGGAGCGACGATGGCAGACCTGGGGAGGAGTCATCTATCACCTCCTATCTGTGCTTACACTGGGGCACATGCAGCACAGCCTAGGTGCGATAGACACTTGTCACCTCAGCTCTGGGTGCCAACACTGGTGCTAAGGTATGAGGCCCAAGTCAGGGCTTTGAACTGGCACCTCTGTGTGCCTTCACTGGGACAGAGGCAGGGGGTCCAGGGGAGGACAGCAGCAGTCACCTCAACTCTGGGGACTCGCACTGGGGTGGAGGCAATAGGTGCGGGTGTCAACATTCAACTATTGCCTCACCTCTGGAGGCCTAGACCAGGGCGATGCCTGAGGGTCCACACGTGGAGTCACCTGTCACCTCCACTCTGGGCGCCCAACCTCAGGTAGAGGCATGAGGGACAGGTGAGGCATCCAACTGTTACCTCAGACATGGGTCCCTACACAGAGCATGAGGACCCAAGGCGCACCACACCAGGAGCACTACAGGGCTGGCAGTGACAGTCAAATGTCACCTCCACTCTGCAGCTATGCAAATCAGAGACATGAGGGACCAGGCGACAGCATTCAAGTGACAGCCCAGATCTTGGTCCCTACACTGGAAAGAAGAATGAGGGACTGGGTGAGGCATCCACCTGTCATCTCAGCTCAGGGTCATTAAAGTTAGACAGCAACAAAAAAGGCCAGATAGGGAGAGTCATGTGTCACCTCATCTCTTAATGACCGTTCTGTGGCAGAGGAATTTGGGCCCAGGTAAGGGCACTCACCTGCCACCTCACCAATGGATTTCTGTACTGTGGGTTTAGGCAATTGAGTCCAGGTGTGCCCACCCAACTGTCACCTGAGGTCTTTTTGTTCATACTAGGTACTGTAGATTGGTGTCCCCTCAAAACTTGGTCCCCACTTGACTGTTAAGAGGGTGGGAAATCCTATTGTGGTGATTGGAAGGTGTGGCCTTGAAGAGGTGACTGGATTGTAGGACCGTGCAGTAGTGAATGGATTAAAAGTGGTGGCCAGGGGCGTGGTTCTGAGGGCTTTAAAGGACAGCAGTGAGGGCCGGCCCGGTGGCGCACTCGGTAGAGTGTGGTGCTTGGGAGTGCGGCGGCGCTCCCGCCAAGGGTTCGGATCCCATATAGAGACCGGTCCGCTCATTGGTTGAGCACGGTGCGGGCGCGACACCGAGGGTTGTGATCCCATTACTGGTCACGAAAAAAGACAAAAAGGAAAAAAAAAAAAAAAGGACAGCAGTGAGACTCTCCCTCTGCTCCACCATTTTCTGCCAGGAGACCCCTGCATTGCTGTAAAGCCACCTCTAAAGAAGACCCTCACCGGATGTGTTCCCCAGACTTTGGACTTCCCAGCCTCTGAAACCGTAAGCAATAAATTTTGTTTTCTTATAAATCACCCAGTTCCAGGTATTTTGTCTAAGCAACATAAACAGACCAATACACAAGGGAAGAGGCAAGAGGTCCCAGGTGAGGACAGCCAGTAGGCACAGGAGCTGCTGCCGGCTCTGGGCGTAGGCACGCAGGCCCGTGTGACTGCTGCCATCCAACCACTCAGCACTCGGGTCTGCACTGAGACAGAGGAACGAGGGGTCAGGTGAGGGAAGCTGGGTGAAGGGCATGTGGGGACTGTTCCACACTATTCGAGCAACTTATCTGTAAATATAAAATTATCCCAAAGTAGAAATTTTACTTTTTTTTAAAAAAAAGGAAGGGAAATAAAGGTGATTTCAGACATACAAAAGCTGAAAGAGTTCAGCAGCAGCGGCAGGCCTGCAGTACAGAATCACACAAGGACGTCCTTCAGGTGGGAGGAAAGTGACACCCACTGGAAACCCAGATCTGCCCAAAGCAATGCAGAGCCCCTAAAATAGGCTTGTGTTTCAAACCTGCTTTTTATTACTATCGCATTAAGTATGCTTGTGGCCAGAATATATCTAGTTTTATAATAACTGTAACAACTGCTTCAGTGAAGTCAGAGTGGTATGTAACTCATTCAACAGATATTTGAGCCCTCACTATTGCCCGCGCATTAGTCTAGACACAGAAGCGAACAAAACAGATGAAAATTCTTGCTTTCATGGAACTTACATTCTCACTGGTTGTTTATTAAACTTTTTTTTTTAAGGCTGACTGGTAAGGGGATCTTAA